GGTTATTATATTGATTAATTACATGCCAAGGCATTCTGGCTAAATCCCCAATAAAATATTCAGCATTAAAATGTTTATAATCCCTAACTTCTTTCACATTAGGTTTAAGTTTTGGAAGGGTGAACTTCCTGACCACATAAATCAAACTATGGTCAGACATCCCCAGATCTATTACACCAGCCGTCGAAATGTTTTCTTTAGCATTAGTTAAGACCAAATCAATCAAGGTCGCCGAGGTGTTGGTCTCTGTTGTAGGTTTATTAATTAATTGGTCAAGTTGATAAAGAGAACACAAAAAGTTTAATTGTCGTGTATGGGCATCTGGTGAGGTTTTCATAACATCGCAGTTAATATCACCAATTATAATCAATTCCTTATTTTCAGACTCGCATTTTTGAAAAAATACATCACAATCATTAAATAAGCTCAAGTTTGACTTCGGAGGCCTATACCATGTGCAGACAAAAAGCGACTTGCTAAATGGGCGAGTAATTTCAGCACACAGCATCTCAAGACGATCGGGCACCAAGTCATTCCTATCCAAATAGGATAGGTTGTCTCTGATGTACAACACCACACCGCCTCCTGCCCTATTACGGTCCTTTCTTATCAAGTTAAAACCAGGGATACTTATTTCCCCATCCATTACAGAATCATCTATTTTGGATTCATTAATAGCAAAAATATCGAAGGGAAATTTAAATAACAGATGCCTAATTTCCTCAATGTGTTTCAATAAGCTATTGACATTTATACTAGCAATTTTTAGGCCTTTTAATCTAGCGACGCAATGCATTGCAGAATCAAACTCACCCATTGTTGGACCACGGAATGCTTTACCTGAATTGTCATTCCCAACATCTAACGGCGAGGTTTCTTGTATAGTGGAATTGTCGTTGGTTGGGTTGTTAGCTGGGTTAGTAGTTGTCCCAGCTGATGTATTGGGTTTAAAAACCCCGTTTGCAGCTTCGCTCGTTTTCCCAATGGCCTAATAAATTTTATAAAATTATTGGCTAAATAAGCCGATCCCTTTGCGTTCAAATGTAGTTTGCTGCCGTTGAGGCATGTTCCATCAATACGCGAATTGTCAATAAAAACAAAGTCATCATTGTTAGCCATCTCCTTTAACTTTCCATTGACTGCAGATAACTTTGCCGACACATTGATATCATCTCTATGTATAATGCTGGAGATGCCAATCTTTGAATTTTGAAATTTTCTGCGGGTCTTCAAAGCCAGCTTTTGTATTTTTCGAACACATGAGTCTACGCTTTCGGATGATAGATTATTCGTACCTACATGAATAATTACATATGATAGTTCATCGTTCATTTGTATATTGTCTATTTCATCATGTATTTCTTCGACTCTTTTCCCTGGAAACGACCGCTTATAGACTGTCTTTTTGGAGAGTTTTCGGGGGTCTATGTGCTTAATTATGGAGTCTCCAATAATCAAAACTGATTTCGGTTTATCGCTCGACTTATCGACGTCTTGTGTTGATGTTGATGTTTGACCTTGTCCACTGGCTTGGCTCTGGATAGCTTCGACAGGCTCTTCTACTTCGATAGCTTGCAATCCTTGCCCACTGGCTTGCCTCTGAATGGCTTCGACAGTCTCTTCGATAACTTGCGGTCCAGATATCGCTAGTGTAGAATATCTATTTTGGGTTGGAATATCCGGATAGGCTCTACTCAGTTGTTGACAACGTTGACAGTCGTCAGCTTCGTCGGAATTAATTTTCTCTCCAGTTGACTCGCTACTATTTAATGTTGGTTGACTCCTAATTCTTTGTTTAATAGCCAGATAGCTGTAATTAGACTGGCTTTCTCTTCTTCCACTTGTTTCACTTTATCTTGAAGGTCAGTTAGAGTGCAACTCAAATTATTTATCTGTTCTGTCAAGCGCCCATTTTCCTTTTTAAGTTCAAGATTTTCGTTTCTCAATCTGATCGCCTCGCTATCCGACTCTTGATTTTTAAATTGTTCAAGTCTATTCGAGTGCTCCAACAATGTACTGTTTACAGCTGACATGTTAGCACTGAATTCTTTTGCTAGGTCTTGCAGTTTATTGTTAAGAAAGTTTTTAAGGATCTCTAAGGGATCGTCTGCAACTATACAAGCAGGATTTGCATCCGCTTCGGGACGGCCGAGCGCCCCGCGGCATTTGGTATTATCAACGATTTTCTTTGATATAGAGGCTAAAGATTTTAGTTTCTTTTCGATTTCGTTCTTGTTTTTCCCACTGACTGTGATTGTTTGTGTCTTTACATACCACCGAATGGATGTATCATCATATTCAAAGAGTTTGCCATCGCCACCAGGGGAAGACCATTCTCCATCGCATAAATTCAAACCTTCTTCTACAAATTGTTGCAAGAGCTCATATGATGAGGTCCAAATCACTTTGCCTTTAGTGTTGACATCTAGATTGTGCAATAGACTTTGCTTCGGATCCATTTGTCCTAGCTTCACAATAAATAATTATCTGTAGACTTTCAGTAGACTTTTATAATAAATATAAGCGGAGCACTAAAACACACGTCTGTTCACTACGGATCAGCTACACGCATGTAGCTATTATCAATGCTTATATATTACCCTATTACGCGCGTATAATGGGAGAAAAGTTTCGTACTGTAACTAACAGTCTTAAATCAGGCATTATGTGAAAATTAAATTGCGACGAAATAACAGATAATGGAGCAAAATTGTATGTATATAAAGACGTTTTATTAGCAAAATACGACCATCCAAACTAACCACATAATCTGCTAAAATAGTGACTAAGTAATACTACTGTTTGAGTTTTTTTAAGTTTCAAAAACAAACTAACTAAGCGTCATCATTTGCTAGGCAATATAACAAAGCATCCACCTCCAGAAAAACTAGGGAACCATGCGTATCTCGTAAATATGCTGACAGCGTATCTGCCTGTCTTCGAACCTAAGCCGAAACTTCCTAGTTCTGTAGCCGCAAAATCTAGATATATAACCTGGGTAATATCTCACACGCCAAGGCCAATAACCAATCACTTGCTGTCCTAATTCGACCAGGTGGTCTCGTGGTAAGTTGTCAAGGATGACTGCACGTTTGTCACTCTTTGGCAGGGTTATACTATCTCCGTCATCATAATTGATGGAGACTGTCCGCCGATTGGACTTGCTGACGAAACCGACTTTGTAGTATAAACCGTTTGACCAACGGGCGTACACTCTAGAACCAACTGCAATCAGAAACAAAATAATTAAAAAAAACAACAATCAACGTATACAAACTAGAAAATAAATGCATGCAGGAACCCTCGCCTTGCTAACAAAACCAATTGCATTTTCCGAACATGAAGTATTTAAAGTAGTTGCCATGCGGTAACACGATATTCTTATTAAGAACGTTTTTACAAATGAAAAATGGCATAAAAATATCACTTGACGTAATAAGCCGTTATATTCACCTACAGGTGAATATAACAAAACAGAAATTTTCAAAATGGCGGCTACCCGTTTTGTGGAAGTTTACTGACAAAGAAATAAGCGAAATTAAAATAATTTCAGTCACAAAAAGCACAAAAGCTTTTGTAAAAATACTAAAACAATTATTCGTCTCAGGCTCGTTGATTATCGGTGCAGATTAAGAGGACCAGATGTCCGACATCAGTCAAAAAAGCGTAAGGTTCTACTCCTTATTCTGTGGTAAGGGCTTGGTCACTGCGCATGCCGTACTGCGCATAGCTTAGCAAGTGACTAGAGGCAGTCACCCCCTGTCAATAAATTTCAAAATGGCGGCAACAATTTTATTTTGAGACAACAAACATGAAAATAAACTCTTTTTATTTGCCCGAGAGAGGGATTGTGTGGTTAAATTTATGTTTAAAACTTTCAACGTCTGTACGCGTATTGGAAAAGTGAGTTCATCACACTTAGGGCCTGTTCATATGGGCAAAAGTTATCCCGGTTAGCGAGAAAACTTTTCAAGAAGTTTACAAGCGAGATCTCGCCTTGGTATGAAAATAATATGAAAAGTTATACTGCGTTCATATGAGACAAAAAGTTTTCCCGTGTACCGAGCTCTCGCTTGTTGACAGGCGAGATCTCGGTGACCGGGAAAATATTTTTCCCATATGAACACAACTTTCCCGCTTAGCGGGATAACTTTCTGTCGTGTCAGCAACTTTTCAATTCAATTGATGTTCAGTGCCACGTCACAGCCGAAAACTTTACCCGGTAAGCGGGATAAAGTTTCTCCATATATGAACAGAACAAAAGTATTTGGCTAGTCGAAAAGTTTTCGTTAACCGGGATAACTTTTGCCCATATGAACAGGCCCTCAGTTAGTAATATTAAATACTGGTATATAGTGTAAATTTTTCAGAATGTAGTTTTATCAGATGAAGAGACGCCTTTATTGGTGGATACTCTGATAATAAACGCGGATTATTATTATTGTAATAGACCCTTGAACTTGTACCCTATAGCTGTAGGTTTGCATGTTAAAAATTTAAAAACCTTCTCTTGGCCGTGTCAATTAAGAAAATGAGTTCAAAAATAGATAGTTTAGCCCCTTCAAATTTTGACATCCGTTTCAGCAACGGCATATATATTCAAATTGACCTTCACGATGATAAAGTTGAAGCACAAGACAAGAATATTCAGTATTACACAGTTTGTCGAACGAGAAACACCAACTGAAGGCATTCCAAAGAAAACTTTTCAGAATGATTAAACAATCAACCATCTCTGTTGGCTTTATTTTGCTTTCCATGGCTGTGCTGTATGCGGTATGTTGCTTGTTTTCGTATTTTCTACATTTCATTTCAAACCTCATTCACATTTAACAGTGACCATGCAGTGACGATGATGACGGGAAGTACAGCCTGGGTCAGTGATATATATATATATATATATATATATATATATATATATATATATATATATATATATATATATATATATATATATATATATATATATATATATGTATATATATATATATATATATATGAATGGGTGTGAGGTACCATGTCTGGATAGTGTATGAACTTGGCTTTGGGATTTCTTCAGACATAAAAATACACAAAGTATATTTTCCAAACGTTTCGCCTTTTACGGCTTCTTCAGTGGAATGTTTTTTACAATAATATTTCCTCCTATAAAAAACATTCCACTGAAGAAGCCGTAAAAGGCGAAACGTTTGGAAAATATACTTTGTGTATTTTTATGTCTGAAGAAATCCCAAAGCCAAGTTCATATATATATATATATATATATATATATATATATATATATACGTGAATTGTTGCATTTTTTCGCACTAAATTGTTTAACCGTTCGCCTTCTAGAGCTACTTAAGGTGGCGACACCAATATTGCCACTTGTCCAAATTGAGGATATTAGGTTTAAACATATTATGGAGCGTCATAAAATATTTTAATGGTAAATGGCTACATATCTTTTCTAAAACTTGTTAGTTAGTTGTAGCCAAAATCGCAAATTAATTTTCTGTAAAAATAATGAAGCAATCCCCAGAAAAGGGGAAAGACTAGCGCCGAAATCCCAACATTTCCTCTTTCATGGAACAAATTGAACGGAAAACAGCAAATTTAAGGCATTTTCCCAACCTTAGCTTGCCTTTGTCAATTTGCCAGGGATTTTTCATCTTTTTTATTAATTTCTACAAGAAACAAAAGTTTAATAATAGAGATAAAAAAATTTTGTTTTTGAGCAAAAAGGTGGGTAGAAACTTTAGAAATCTTTCTGCAAAGTTTGCATTATTTTTAACCTAATTTCTGTAATTCGCCACCAAGTATCGCAAGTATCTCTAGAAGCCGAACGGTTAAGTATTTTGGTGAGATAAATACTACGATTGATTTAATATGATTGTTTTTCAACCCACTGCAAAAAATTTGAACCTTTGATTAAATATAGCGAAGTAATACCACCAAATATGACAGAGGGCATTTTTGGGGGGGCACCCTGTATATATATATATATATATATATATATATATATATATATATATATATATATATATATATATATATATATATATATATATATATATATATATGCTATCGCAAACGTACTGTTACCGTACCGTATGTTAACAGATAGCCATTCAGCGACGAGCTTATATATTTTAAGCCATTATTTATGCCGATTTAAGCTAATCAGCGATTCGTTTACATCAATTGTTTATATCGTGCCCGCTGATCTAACCTGCGAACGGGCATACTTTAGCCTCGTCAGGCCTCGTGTATAAATCGTGTTTTATATTCTTTCATAAATATCTTGATATTTTTATCAATTTATCTTGAATTGGCTGTCTTGTTTTCTGACTTTTCTCGCCATTCTACTTATTTATCAACATGGAATCTTATCCTCATCTGGTAAGTAGTCAAATGCCACATATTATATATTTAAATACCAAATTTGGCAAATATATGTCCCACATATTTTACAAGTTTTATAATACATGAGTTCGCCAGTTCGGCAAATATTTACTATACTATCTATAGTTAATATTGCCGTATATTTGGCGTAGAGTTTACATGGAATACACTGTGGAATTTTTTATTAATATATTACACTGTTAAAATATTGGATATTTTCGAGGATATTTTAAGCTATTTGTCAACATAGTTCGCAAAAAGATTTATACAGTATTAAAAACAATCCTTCTGTGACTTCTGTAATATTTTAAACAGTGAAAACATTCTCAGGAGATATTGAATTAAATCCTGGTCCTGTATTTCTGTATATTGACTACTCCATAACTCTGTGTCTCTGACTCAAAACAACAGTCCAACTATAAAGCTGTCATCAAATGTAGTGTTAGAGCAAAGGTTGAAGATGTTATCAGTTAAAATACTTATGCATTTTGGTTTTACACATTAGAGTTAATTAAACAAAATTTTTACAAGCATTTTCAAATAAAAGAATCCTCACCCTCCCGAGCCTCATTACATTGTCATTTTGCTTTCTAACATAAATATTTTTCTTTAGAGATTAATACAAGAATGAAGAATAAATGTAGTGGATATTGGCTGGATAATTTTGTCAGAACAACCAACTTGCAAGACAATCTTACCTAAATTCATTAGTATGGAAAATAACTTAACAGCTACAATGAGTAATCATATATTATATGGTGGATTTGATCAGTGACACACAATGTACAAAACTAAACTTGTGATACCTTCTACTCAAACCGATAATCTCCCACAACACGATTGTTTTTGTGTGAATGTGCTGTACGTGTTAAACCGAACAGTGTGGTATATCATTAACTGTGCACAGAACTGGAATTTAATTATATACTTCACTCATGACCTTCAAAACATTCTCAATTATTCAGTGGTCTTCGACATGTTCACCAAATAATTTGTGTATGTTACTCAACAGTTAACATTGGCAAGTGTAAACAACAAGTGACATAACTTTTGCTTCATATGATTACAATAAAGTTTTGAAAATTTGATGAGTATGGATTGAATTGACAGGTGACAGTTTACTAAATAGCTGGCTGTATAGACACTTTGAATATTGTTTGCATGAAATTTTTATTTCCTGACTGCATAATTATCTGTTACAATCATAATCACATTATAAAGTTAGTTAAATTTTCTCGGTGCGGGCGGGGGTAGCACTTGCCCTGCTGCACTCCCCGCTGTGTACAGCCCTGTTTTAAATCTTATCTGCTATTATAATAAGTGATGAAATATTTCAATTGTCCCATGTCATCTTCATTATTCAGTTTCTTTCAAGAAAATACAAAATGTGAATGAAGTTTTTTCGCAGATACATGTACGCGTTGCGTACCTATTTTTAAAATTAGTGTAATATTCCAATTTTCTATTTTGATGTAATGCGCGTGTGAGCATCTTCCTATGTAACACCCGCAATATAAATTTTTAAATTACATTTTTTAATTAATGTACATTAAATATTTGATGGAAAATTTCAAAAGCGTTGTTATTTTGTCCTGATGTACAAGATAATTCATAGCTGCCTTCTTGACCAGAATTCAAAGTGACGTCACTCTTGCTGGTATGGCCAATGCATCGACACAAACCAGACTTAATCCCAATCTTAAACTGTCTTCCCCACAACGCGTATATAAATGGATTTAAAGTCGAGTTAATTGAAACCAACACTATGGTGGAGTTGTGGAAGTGACTGAACAGTTTAGCTTTGCCATACTTCAATAATATTAAATAAATCTGAAATAAAAAAGATATATTGTGGTAGTATTGTGGAAATGACTGAACATTCCAGCTTGGCCATACTTCACTAATATTAAATTAATCTGAAATAAAAATTACGCACTGGGAATGACTATACTAAAAATATTTAATTGATCAGAAATAGAATTTATGTATTATCAGTAGCTTTTATTATTGAGGTCGAGAGCAACATCTAAAAAACTATACAATTGCTGCGAAGAGTGGGAAAGAAAAAATTGGTCTACTTATCTATAATTTTTGGGTTATTGCCCGTGTGATGGTAGATCCCTTTAGTCATAACGGTTGATATAAATGAATTCGGAAATATCTTGATTTTCAGAAGATATTCCGTAGCATTTAAGAATATAATAAGCAGTGAGAGCAGAACTATAGGCAATAAGATGATAGCCTACATGTATAGTAAATTGCTATGTCATTGTTTTCAGACAGGAATATGAAATACGTCTCTGATCTGTACAGACCTCCTAAAAACGGACGATGCCATCACAGAGACGAAAGTAACATTTCCGTATCAAACTCATGCATATCGTGACACGAATCATCCTCATAATATTCATAATCTTGCTATTACGTTGTATGGAAAAGTTTTGCTTTTACCAATGGTAAAATATATTTTTATAAGTAAGTGTCTGATCGATTGCTTGATCTCTTGGTTGGTAATTGATTGGTTGATTTAATTATAATGTAATTTTTAATATTTAACGTGGAGAAAAAGGCAAGATATCCCACGCTGTAAATGTAAGCCCTAACATCCCTATCTACCACGTGACGTCGTTCCATGTGCAGCCCTTCCCTTCTATACATGTTAAAAATGATAAACAAATTCAGAGTCAAGGAGTTGCTGAGATTATCTCGGAAGAACTGATAAGTTTGATAATTAACATTTAATGGAAGGAGGCTGAGAGTGATATGAAGAGTGGGAACTTAATAACTTCTAAAAAGAGAAATTGACTAGAATTTGTGGGCAGTTATTGAAAACATTGTTTGTAAAACTAGAAAATACATGCATGCAGAGACCCTCGCCTTGCTGACAAAACCGTTGTATTTTCCGAACAGGGAGTATCTAGAGTAGTTGTCATGGTAACACGATAATTTTTTAAGAATATTCTTACAAATAAAAATCGCCTAAAAATATCACTTTTAATTACAAAATTATCAATTTCCCAACATATATATGTTAGGTATGTAATTATACGTAATACAAGCTTCAATTTAAGGTAAAATTCAACCACATACAATTCACAAAACGTTTTAAAGTGTTCTTTATAAAACTAAACTGCCTTTAACTATTAAATGGCTTTATCGATAAACTTTGAGTTTGCAATAAAATGATTTCAAATTCTCGCTTGCAAATAACTTTGGTCTTTGCTTTATTTTTATTTAAAAAATTCAATATAATAAAAAAGGGAATCAATATTAAAGTTACACTGAAATTTATATATGCTGTCTTGTTTAGTTGTTTCATATACGCAAAGGCCGTCGGGTTTTAAAGCCATTATAAAATCAATATTTAAAACAAACTTACCTTCGTTAACGTCGGCTCCCTTCTTTTAGCTGATTCTTTCGCCCTTTCTTTCTTGAAATTTACAAAATCTTGCAGAAATACGAGCAAAAATGAAATATATTTGCAAGAAATTTATCAATCATCAAATCAAGAAATGTTTGCTATTTCGCTGTCGTCATTATTCATTCATGACAATCCGCCATATTTTTGAGATCAGTGAGGATGACCACCCATCGTTGGTGACCGACGCCCGCGCTCATTGATGAACTTTAGACTTCGCTAATGCTGTCGTTTCCCCGGGTGTAAATAGCCGGGGGGAATTAGTACCCTCGCACGGCGCTTCGCGCCGCCGGCTCGGGGATAAACCATCAATCCTCACCTGACTTGGTAACCAACAAGCAATCAATACAAGTGAGGCTGTCGCTGCCATCTTGGTAACATTTCTGATGGCCTGTTCTCTTTTGTTCTGGCCGTGGAACTGTTTGCCAGTTTGTATTATCTTGCGAATAGTACGAGCATACAGGACCAATATTATTCCAGATGGAATAAAGAACTTGAGACTTACAGAACATACTGTGATCGATCCAATAAAATCTCCTGTGAAATTATAATACATTCATATATCCATGCAATTTGGTGAACTACGGATTTGGTTATTTTGTTCATCAGGCGTCAACCCCGCCCCACCATGCCCCTCCCCCGCCCCACCATGCCCCCCGCCCGTTTTCTTTGTTTAAAATTTTACGCGTCTTTGGAGTTACAAGATGTTTGAAACTAATTCTAGCTTATTTATCCAATCATATTGGTTGGCTGATACTCTATCAACTTTACCAGATTTCGGATGAAACCACCTGTACTCTTCAAGGATATGAACAAAATCGTGATTAATTAATTTATATTTTGAGTTTTATAATAAGTTCCATCAATGACTTTGCAGCAAACATGGATTTTGAAAACATCAACTAAGGAGAAATTCATGTTCTTCAATTTCAATTCAATTGATTAAATTGCCACAAAAAGGAATTATTTACAAATGAAATGTACATTAATGAAATATACATATGTGACGAGGAAGCCCAAGTAGAAACCATATGGCTTATAGGGTTATGGGCTTCCTCATTTATAACAAGTATTACAATATTGAATTCAAAGCTGTGCTATAGTAATCAGCTATCTTAGTGAGGCAAAAACGTGCTCGATATATGACACCAACCAAACGAGAAATTTTGCTAGCAATATGCGAAATGTGAAGTGACCAACACAAGTGTTCATCCAGGATTACTCCAAGAAAAACTATATGACCTGTACGATGCAGTTCATGATCATTTATATACAACGGCAAACTAGTAATTTGTCTCTTTTTGCCGCGGTCTAAAAATAATATAGTTTGACTTCTTTATATTTAATGATAGCTTATTGGCTTTAAACCAATCAGATAACTTATTATGTAACTCTATATTGATGAGGTTGGTCAAGTTAGATAGATCATGATGAGAAAAAAATAGATTGGTATTATCAGCAAATAAGACCAATTCCAAGGCATCTGAGACATTGCAAATATCATTAATATATATCAGAAATAGTAATGGTCCAAGAACGGACCCTTGAGGTACTCCACAACTTCACGAGGACGTTACCCCACTGCATTCAACATATTGTTGTCTGTTTGAAAAAAAAATTCTTAGCCAATTAAATGCCAGTGTCCATAATGATTGTGTTTTTCTTACCCCAATCATGTACATGAGCAAAACTAGTTTTTGAATTGCACGCCGTCTCCAACAAGGCAATGAACCATGCAACTGAGTCGTTTTCGGAAATTATGAGCGAGAATGAGAATTGTATTCCAGAGTCATTAGTTAATTCTCGGAGACGTCTTATCTTTTTGAGTGGAATTCAAATTCCACCGCCCCCAGTAAATATGTATTGGTAGCGAATATTCGCCAATTTAAGGACAGAATATTTTCGCAATAACCTGACGCTTATCTTAAACGGGATATGACTCGAAAATTGACGGTATTATTTTCATTAAGATCATTGAAAACTGTAGAGTAACATTTTGATAACATCTTTGACAGATTTTGGTTTCTTGCTTCATTTTGGAGATATTTCATAAAGACTTACTTTAAAATGTTATATAATTTTGTCACTATCAAATAAATTCGCTAAAAATGAATGATGAGCACGAGATTTGTCCACAACAACACCCATGTAGGTTTTCTACTGATTGTGTTTAGTCGTATTAAAGATATACAGCTTTTATAGGGCTAAATCATTATGCATATGTGATATGTGACGTAAGAAGTTGGTCCTTTGCATATCATACAAAATGAAATATCTCCAAAACGAAGCAAGAATACAAAAATCTGTCAAAGAAGTTACTGTACAGTTTTCAATGATCTTTCAAATTAGACAAAAAAATAACACCATCAATTTTCGAGTCTTAATAATTTTAGGATGTCCATGCATGAACGCGAAGTCTGTGTAATATATATATGTATACTGTATATATGCTAATATGTAATATATATGCTCTTTGTCACAATGTCAATGAAGTTTTGTTCATCTCAAGCGTCAAAGTTAGCGTTTTTACTCGAAGATAAGTACAGTATTTAACCTTTAAAGGGCATATGACTCGAAAATTGATGGTGTTGTTTTTTGTCTAATTTGAAAGATCATTGAAAACTGTAGAGTAACTTCTTTGACAGATTTTTGTTTTCTTGCTTCGTTTCGGAGATATTTCATTGTGTATGATATGCAAAGGACCAACTTCCTACGTCACATATGCATAATAGCGAGCTTAAGCATGTAGGACGGGAATGCGACGGCGACGGTAAACAAACTCGTTAAACAAAATGATTGCAGCAGAAAACCTGTCGTCTGTTATCCATCGTATGGAAATAATACAGTTTAAGGATCAAAATAAACACTGGGTTTACGATTGAGAAAAGTTTTAGGACCCACTTTAAAATAGCAGTTGTCCCAGCTTGAAATGTAAGCGTTGTATACAAGACGTGATAATCTGTATTTTGCCGTTGTAAAACAGAACTACGGCGCCGTCTAAAACGTCTGTGGATTTTAATTGTCAATTTCTGCTCATTTCCTTGCATTAATATGTTATTATTAGCTGTTTTCGTTGCACTTTTGTTCTGCTTTTTGAAGTTCTTAATAACGGTAGTTAGTTATAATAAAAAACTATAGAATTTAAGGCGCTTTCTTGCCACGTCCCCGTACTAGATTAAAGGGGCAATGTCACCGATTTTTGAGCAATTCCAACCCTCGCAAATTTTGTCCAAAACTGAAAAAAAATGAGTGTAAGCACAAAATAAAGCAAAAACAAACACAAAAAACATGTACAGAAGTCTGGATGGGCAAGATTACGTCAGGATTGAGATTGATTGTAAATGGCATCTTGATTAATTGTCGGCAGACACTTTTTCAAGTTTTAGTCAATTGTTATGAAAATGTCATGTTACATGTTGCGTGGAAGTTCAAAGTTGTTTAATATGACTCATATATCATAACTTAATCCATTTACAATGTTTATTTTTAACTTTGTAGTTCAGTTTTTGAATAAAAGGCATTTTAGGTCAAAAATCGGTGACATTGCCCCTTTAAGCTTTGCTTAAGTTCGCTAATGAGTTAGCCCTAAAAGCCGTATATCTTGAATACGACAAAATGAAATATCTCCAAAACGAAACAAGAAACCAAAAATCTGTTAAAGAGGTTACTCGACTACAGTTTTCAATGATCGTTCAAATTAGACTAAAAAACTAACGCCATCAATTTTCGAGTCATATGCCCTTTAACATTTTCATAAGAAGATAAATATAGTATTTTACCTTCAACTAGTGGTGTACCGATGCATTTTGCTGCCGTCATGTTTGATGTCTTTGTTTGATATGTTCGAGACACAGTACCAAGACGTGACGTTCCAAGTCCAAGTATCCATATCAGAACCAAATATTTAATCAAATGTTTGTTGGCAAATCTCATTCTATACTTAAATGGTCGACAAATTGCCGTCCATCTTTCAATAGTAAGGAACAAGCAAGTATAGACTGATACAGCTCCGAGTGCAAAGAACAGCCAATAACCGGCAATAGTTTGGCAATAAAGTCTACCAAAGAATAGGTTGTCTGGAACTGTAGTTGGTTTGAAACTCAATCCAGGAGCAATGGACATTAAAATTCCAGTTGTCAAGTCAGTAAACGCCAGGTGGAGGATAAACACGTTGTAAGGTTTCTTTAACCAAATTGTGTTGCGAAGAAATAAAATGACCACGCCAATGTTGGAAAGGACTGCGAGTGATGCAATTGGAGTCGCAATAAACTTCATGTATGTCATCTTGCAAGATAAAAATATTCAATTTGGCGCCTATAAATGGAGTTCCTAAAAGGAATTTTAAAATAAATTTAGTTATATTGTTTTTATTGAGGATTTTTTTAACTGGAAAAGTTAATCAGTATTTTGTAAATTGATTTTGCAAAGTGTATTATTGCTTTGTTTTCGTGGAGAATACAACGTTTATCACCCATGCAAAGCTACCTTATAGTACATTAGTACGCCGAATTTTCATTAATATTAAAGGGAGGGCAATATAAATTAAGTCTTATTTGAAAGAAAATTTATAATGATATATAAACTTCCTTTACAATTATTCCGTATCTTGCTTGGTTTTCGAAATTAACATCATTTTAGTCAATTTACTCGATTCTGATTGGTTAAAACCGTGCCGATTAAAATTAAACATTAATCGCATAGGCGTGCCGATTAAAGATTAATCAGCACGGATATACGAGCTCGCGTACATTAAGCACAAGATCTCAAAATATAAATAAACGACTTCAAAATTTATAATTTCTATGTTTAAATATTAAAGATAAAAAAGAAATAAAGATTATTCACAGTTTTTTACAGGTATGAATTGAAAATTACTCACAAAATTGACAAAGGCGCGTATGGCTGCATGGTTAACCGCCTCCCCCAAACTTTTTTAGAATTAACATATTCGGAAAATCGGGTTGGCCATTTTGAAAATTACGGCAATAATAGTATAGAATTTTAGTTGTTAAACAGACTGGAAAATATTATAGAATTGTATTGTCAGTATAAACTGATTTACGAAATCATGGCATCATATGGATAACAATTTACAAATCGTAAATCGGTTAATTACTTCTGTAATACGGCTATGGCTAAAATATATGGGTAAATATGCGTATTTTTGTTTATTTGGTCTTCGTTTTCGGGATAGCAAACACCTTCGTGGCTTCGTATGCCATGAATGATTCGGAATGCGTATGATCGTATGCCATGAATGATACATATGCCATGAATGATCCGACACCCCCTCCCCCCCCTCAACATGCTAGCTACGGCCCTGCACTTATGTTACAAAAGGAAACAACGAATGTTACAAAAAGGACACTTATGTTACAAAAGGAATATATAACTGGAATTCTACCTTCACATAAACTGCCTATCTTTTTCATGAAGCCAACGACTCCCCACGTGTATCTGGGGGTCAAGACGCGCGTATTTATGCCTCCACTGCCCAGTTCATGGAGCGCGCATGCCGTTTTACTGAAAGAGTGTAATGCATGCCATGCAATGTTGGCAAGATTTACATTATATCAGAGAAAAAAAGTTCCGTTTTAGAAACAAATTAAGGTTCTATGGTTATTCTATAGCTATTGGTAGCGTTTTGTCATACAAAAAATATGGAAAAAAGGGCCTCGGGGTAATCAAAATATCCTCTTTTATTTATTCAAGTAAGTTACATGTATTCTGTTATATTACTGCCAAACTTTTGAAAAAACAAGACTATTTTTTACAATAATTGCGCATGCTGTAGGTTTTAATACAGGTATACATCAGTTTATTTCCGTGAAATTGCTTTGATGAACAGAATAAATCAGTGTCAAAAACGAAAAAATAATCATAAAACATCCAAGCCAAAAGTCGTTACAGTGCATCCATTTTGAAAAACTAAAATATCCTTTTTCCATCCCAATTTCGACCGAAATTTCCTTCTAAAATAAACAGCTGAGCAGGATGGACTTCCGTCTACGCATGCGCGAGAAACGTGAGCGTGAAGTGCACGTGAGCGCGGGTTGATCGCGTGACTGAATTCTAAAAACAAACACCAAATTTGCCAAAACTACTCGTGTTATGAAGACGTTTTCTTGCTTCTTTAGCGTTTCTACGGTCACAATTTTAGGCATTTCCAACTTAGAAGTGTTTGCTTTGGAATAAGAACGTGAAGGTAGAAATAAAAACTTTGTTGCAGCAGTTTAATTTCGCCGTACAATTTATATGTATATCTTTTTCGAAGTGAGATATACAAGTGCAAATTGACCTTCCGTAAATTCGTACTTGCCCTATTTTTGACTCCATAAAAACTACTTTTATCCATGGAGAAACTATTTTACTTTAAAAATAAGCTGGAATAATGGAGGTGATATAGGCTAGTTTCTTTGCAAACAGTGGTTTAGTACTCGGTAGCGTAGTTGTTGTTTATGAACAAAAGTCTAAAATGAATTCAACATCCGTCAACAAAAAGGAGTCGCGCTTATTACTACTCTGTAGAGGATAGACAATTAATTTAATTCAGTAGGAACCCGTTCTACAATATAAACTAGAATTCGGCCAACAAATTGCCAGGAAATACTACAATGAAAATAGGGTCTCTGAACTACCGATTTCATCGAACGGTCAAGTTTCTCTGCAAAGATCGCCCCTTTGCCCAATTTTCATAGAGTAGATCGTGTTTTTAAGTCAAGGATTATGTATACTTTAACATAAAAGAATAAAAAAAGTGGCGATAAAGGGTAGATTTTGAATAAAATACGAATATCTGTATACAAGATCTGAGCGTTATTATGAAGCACACAATACTTTCTCCAACAACATACTGCGCTTATTTTTTTACAAAATTAAAAATATTCACACATTAAAGATATGAAAATGTAGCTTGCATTACAAAGAAATGTTGGCTTACCTAAGTTATACCTTACTCGTCGATTAAAGTCAAGTAAAGCCCTTTCAAAGACGCGGTGCCACATTAAAATACAGGTCACATGCATGGCGGTAGAGAACTCGACGAAGTATTCATATTCAGGATATTTCATAGCCAGTTTAAACGCCGGTGAGCACTATTCCTGTGAATTATGATGCCCAACACACCGGGTAACACAATTTACCACTTTGTTCGCCTATCCCAAGTACACTTTTAAGATACAAGGTCCGATCATATCATGTTCTTCGAAGCATCTGCTCAAAACAGTACAACATAAATATCGCCACTCATCTTCTTCGTATGAAAATATAAGTTTTCCTTTCAATTGCTTTGCTTTAAAAACAGTCATTAGGTTGTTGAAGAGTTAGTATATAACTTCCAACAAAGATTACCCCATTGCTTTCAAAAAACAGTGAATCACAATGCAGAAAACTTCAACATCCTTAGAAATTGTTAGCCAAACATCGAAAAACAAAATTTGCGGGAAAAAGCTCACGAGCCGCACTACTTTTATGCAGCGTCGACGAAAGTCCACCCTGTTCCAGTGAACTATATACATGGAAGGCTGACTTCAGTCAGTGACGTAATCAAAAAGTGAAGCCAAAGATGGCGGATTTTGAAGCCATTCTTGTGCGTCATTCACAGTCTCCTTACCCGCGCCACAGAATAAGAAGGTACAGCAGAAGTATAACTCAAGCAAGTATTTGTCCGCGTTTTTAGAAGCGATTCGTCATCAATCACGCCATCCTGGCTAGTACAACCGGCACTTTTTACCTACCAAAACCTGATAAAAACTTCCGGTTGTACTAGCCAGGATGGCGTGAGTGAGTTAAAATTTTCGTGGACATAAAACAATAAGGGAACCAACTCGAGTTACACTTCTGCTGTACCTTCTTATTCTTGTGCCCACGCGGCCAAATATTTTTTATATTTTCATGGCGGGAAGTGATGGTTGTGTTTTTCTTCATTTTAAAAGAACAAAAAAGGAAATTAACTTAATTTATTTCATGTAAACCTGATTTCCTTCATCTAATCGATCTGTCTACTGCATTTTCCCACTGTATGTGTGAGTAAATCTGTATTTTTCGTTGCGAATTCAACAACTAATTTCAAACCTTTTTTTGTTTTTTGATATAAAATCTGTATTTTTATAAATTGGGAATTTATTTTTTGCTTTGGTTGTTTCGCTTTCTTGTTTCTATGGTGCTTTTCAGTTTTCACACCATTATTTAGCTTATTTTAGTCCGTTTTCCTGACCTAAAACTGCTTTTTAACTGCAGTTTTCGAGGCAGTTTTTAGCCAATTTAATTCCATACATGTAAGAAAATGTGTTTTTTATTTATTTTCTTTAATAAAATCACTTTGATGATGATTGCCTTATAAACTTAAACTGTTTATTTTAATGAGTTACTTATGTGTGTGAAACCCTTGTCAATATGGGCAATAGAGATATTTTGAAAGATTGAGTGACATTTGTGTTTTGTTTTGTCACTCGTTGTCATTTACAAAAACAGCAATCCCGCGCTATTTTACTTTCTTTCCGGCTCAAATATCGCATCTTTTAAATAAATAATAATTAAAATTTAGAACTAAACCCAAACAAAACACCAGAATTCAACTTTTCATTCAAATTTCGTCTGTTTTTCACCAGGTTTTTACTCGCAAAATAACGAAAAATATACTGAAAGTTTAGCTTACCGCGCACGTAAGGGGACGGGGAATGACGCGCAAGAATGCCTACAATTTCCGCCATGTTTGGCTTCACTTTTTGAGCTCGAGTCAGCCTTCCATGTTATATAGTTCAGTGAGTCCACCCTGTTAAACAGCTGGGAAATTTGTTGTCGCTGTGCAGAGAAATTGCTGGCGCACGTGATATTTTACAAAAATTCAAAAATTTGAAAAAACAACACGAGTGAAATTTCAACTTATGATTTTGCATTTTTAAGACGGCGATCAAGGAAATTAAATTGCAGGAAAAACTTCACTAACATCTCAAGTATGGAAAGCATCTACATAGGCCGTGGGCTGTTGTGCGAAAAAGTGCCTAGAAAAGCAATTTCGTGGCACCCTCCTGGGAAATAGATTTTCTGTCGTTCAATTCATAGAGCCATAGATGCTTAATTACCACAAAAAGTTCCCAAGCAAAAAACTTGCCCAAGACCGAGAAAATGGGTGATCAGTGATTATCCTCTATTAAATTGTATTACAGCAAGAAAATGTAAAATTTTGTATTCAATTACAACAAAAATGATTTGCATTATCAGAAAGCTTACAAAAACCTACATATAAGACATTTAAACAGTTTTTTATATCTAAAATTGTTTTC